GAGTTAGTTTTGATTTGATTTATTCGCATGATGACTCTAGTTCAAATATTGAAGAAATCTTATTGTTAGACCAACCTAAACTTGATTCGCGTCTCATTCTTCTTTTTTAGAATGAGATATCAATTTGTTTTTATTAGAAGTGAATTGGGTGGTTGGTGGCAGTGTTGTCAAGTGAATATCATTTTTGAGTTTAAACGTTCAGACTTTGGTGCCATTATCTATGTTATTTCCTCTTTGAATATCAACCAAACATTAGGCCAAATCTAGATTTTTTTAAAAGAATATATCATCAAGTCAAAAGAATAGTAAATTGTTAAAATAATTTATTTCTCTATTCCTTCCATTGCCTTTATTGCATAAATTAGCCAACCTTAATCTTATGCACCAATTGCAAATACAATATTTTGATTATCTCTTTATCATATGAGATTTTAAGAATCTCCATAGGCATTTAGAATGATTTCATACTATGTAAATCAATAAGATTTCACAAGTATGAGAATCAATTTTGTGTACATTAGATATGGGTTCTAATAACCCACCATTAAAATTAACTCTCTTAATTATAATCTAAATGAATAATTTATTTAAGTCTCATGTGAGATTTTAAGAATCTTCGTAAAGACTTAAATTAATCACATCATCATGTGCAATAACAAATCCTCGCAGAAGTCATGATTTTCAATTTCTATAATAAATAAATAATTTTTGTAAATAATCATATAATACACAATTTAAAAAAAAAAATCATTAATCAAATTAATGTATTTAAGTTGTAATCACATTTATCGATTATATCTTTTAATCATGTAAGATTTTTGAATCTTCATATTATTAAAAGATAATTGTATTATCGTATGAGTTAATAAGACTTTGTAGATATAACGATTAAGTTTTTTAAAGAAATATGTAAATTATATACATACACAATAAATCAATTAAATTAAAATATAGTTAAACAAATATTATTTAATCTTTTATCATGTGAGATTTTGAAATCTCTGTATATATTTAGGATAATCATATTACCGCATAAGTTAATAAAGCTTTGCAAGTATGATAATTAAGATTTTTTGAGAAAAGTGTATATGTACATACATGCTTAAAAAATTATTATTAATACTTAAAAATATACATAAGAATATAAAAAAAATTAAGTTGTTAAATTCTTTATCGTGTGAGCTTTCAAAACTCTGCAAATATTTAAAATATTATATTATCGTATGAACCTAATAAGGCTCTGCAAATATAGCGGTTAAATTTTCCAATCATAAAATATAAAAAATAATTTTAAACTCTTTTCTTTTCTTATTTTAGAATCTCAAAAATTGAGAAAATAATTGAAATTAAATTACTTTTATAATTTAAAACACACATATCCAAATTTCAAAAATTATTTTATTTGCAAAATGGTTAATTATTTCTAATTAATTTCTCTTCAAAAATATTTCACCAATAATTTATAATCCCGAACTACGTGAATTTTGATCCCCATCATAGGGTACATAAGCCTTAGAGTCTGATTCTGAGTCAAGTTCTCCCTCATAAATAAAAAAATTCTCCAATTATTAGTATTTTTTTAAAACATATAAATAAGAAAGGGATAATTATAATTACTTTAAAGCCATACTATTCTAGCAATAATAAACTTTAGGTAATTGTTCTTATGAACGGGTGTTATGAGGTACCTAACACTTTCTTTACACTCAATTAACTTCTGAACCTATTTTTTAATTTTGCAGATCATCCTTGCCACTTTTAATTTATCTCTCAAGATTTTTCTTAAAATTTTGGTGGTAACTCCCCCTTCATCTGGTTCCCATTTCGAAAGCTGGAATCTCCGCTCTATGTGCCTTCCACGTTAGACTTTCAAGTGCGCTATAGTACATCTTCGTAGTTGGTTAGGGAATAATACCAGTCATGCTAGCATTCAAGATCTGTTGGGTCATGGGAATATAATAGAAGTATAATTACATCACCAGTCTAATTATTGCATGTAATTGTAAAATTTTTATGAAATTTAATAACAATATATGTAATATTTAATGAAAATTTTCTTTTATATGTTATAATATTCATAAACTGGAAAGAAAAATTTTGTAACTTCCACTCACTTGAAGATTAAATTTTTAGTTTAAATTTCTCTTAATTTGTTAAATATTAATTAATTAAATTTAAATTAGGTGTTACAGATAACATTGTTGGATGTAGCTGTTATATGTTAAGCTGAACCTCATTGATGCATGGCCGGTTATGAAAAAGTTGCATGCATCTTCGTTACAGGTATATTCGCAGCGTATTGCAAGATATGATTATTGAAGATTATGTATTTAAATTTTCATGTCTGGGAAGCATGGAGATATATCCTAGTGATGTCATGTTAATGAAGATTTTGGTTGCTGTTGCTGCAATATATATGAAATAACTGTCAGGAGTGTGTTTTTGTGTTGCTCACATCGTAGCCCTACCTTCCTTCTCTGGTCCTACGCACTCTCGCCACGTGCCTCCACTTTATAAGGCTGCATGTTGGGTTAATAAAATTAATATTACGACCATGTCTTAGGCTTTTTTGGGCCCAACACTTGAACTGCATATACTGTTTGTCAGGGCCATCAATTTCTCCCCTTCTAAAAGATGAATTCATTCATCCGCATACATATAAGGGTGGAACTTTAAATCGAAAATTATTTCTCACCCTCGTAGGCTATTTATGTATTCATTATCACCTTGATGAGATACATTATTTTATACGTACAGTTTTCTTAACTATTCTAGGTAATTACATTTAAAAGCCTTTAAATTGCAACCATAGTAAAAATATGCCCAAGTGTTGTGATTTTATTCCCTAGGTATATTTTAGTTCGAAAATGCTATTCCTCTGAATTTACATATTAAGCACCGGGCTACGTCTTTTAATAGAGAATGATTAGTGGTGCAATTAGTTTTGATTAATTCAATTTAGTTTGGAGTTATTAAGAAAAGACAATATTTAAAGTTATCTTTTTAAGAGATTCTAGTTATCTTGTGTGTGCACCCATGCATGTAGTTATTGTGAGGGCTTTTATTTCATTTACTCAACTATTTTTTTCCACTTAAAATGAGTTAATATTCTGCACTTTATTTTATTTTTATATCACATATTAAATGAATTAATTATGTAATAAATGTGACATAAGTGAAAATACATGTGATTTAAAGACATGAGACCAATGCAACCCCAATATAACCAAATGGAGGAAGAAGAGGCAACGTTAGGCGTGATAAACGATGCTTAAAAGGTGAAGAATAAGCTTTCAAAGGGTGTGCAAGATGTAATTAAATGGATTAGCATGTGAATTATCACTCTTCCCCTCCAATTTGAGTCACATCACTTTTGGCCAAGCCTTGGAAAATTTCGAAGACCACATTTTTCATTTAATTTTTATTATTTTCCCATCTCAATAGGGACGTGATTTCCAAGGCTCAAATATGATCCAACTTCATTTTCCCTCATTCATACATTTTTCTTTCACTTTCTTTCAAGTTCTTCCATGTTTTTCATACACAAGCTCTCGATCATTTCTCATTCTATGACAATTGCCACACAAACTCACACCATCCTCTTCCTCTCATTGATCTTGCCCTATTCCTTCCATTCTTCACAAGTTGTTGCAAAGATTCATTCCTCTTTCAATGGCCCAAGAGTTCAACCAAAGCAAGAAAATCATGGAGATAAAGATGAGAGGCTAGGCATCTTGAAGAAATCCTAGAGAGAGGAAAATGAAGGATGAATCATGAACTCTACTTGGCTAAGCTTTCATATTTCTTAACTCTTCTCTTTTAACTCAATGATTTAATTTATTAGTTATGGTTTGATCATCATGACTATATATTCTAGCTTGAATTGAGTTTTTGTGTAAGTAGAAGATGTTTGTGACATTAAATTCTCTTATTTTCTTTTGTTTTGATTTGATCACCTTGTGAAATTTGCATGTAATTATGTTTTTCAATGGTGAATGGCTTGCATTAATTTTACATAATATTGTGAGATTGTTGCTTGTCTCTTGGGTAGCTTTACATAGTTTTGTGATTGCTCATTTTATTGTTTAGGCCGTGACACTTGAAAGAGGGATTTAATTGTCACACTTGACTAACACTTATGGCAATTAGGAAAATAAACTAAGAATTTTAATCTAAGATTTAAGGAATTAAATTAGTTAAGATTAATTGGCTCAGAATATTTTTCTTAGGACCGATGTATTTTGGCCAAGAGGGATAGAAAGCACTTAAATGTCTTAAAACATCAAGAAGATAAAGATTCTTTCATCAACCAAGACTCTAAAATTCCAACTCTTTAAAGGGAATTTTCCATTTCACTCGCTTTTTTGTTACTTGTTTAATAGGTTTTAGATAAATCAATCTCAACATTTTGGCTACTTATTTACTATAGTTAACCTCACAATTAAATTTTAGCCACTCATTAGGGAGATAACCTAAGTTAACCCTCTATAATATTCAAGTTTAATTTTAGTACTATTTTAGTGAGGTGTATGCGATAGCGTAGTCACACCCACACCAAGAGAAATATGAAATACACAAATTAATTAACACATATCCAAGTTAAGTTGTAAATTAGTATAATTTTTCTTGATGTAGCTTTAATCACAAGTTTTTAAATATAAACTAGAATGTTCTCGTACATTGCACGGATTATACATGAAACAATTAAGTGAAGTGTATTAGATATCAACATTTAAAATATTTCAACTAAAATATTAATGTAACTTCGAAAATAAGCTCATGAACATTCAGAATCATTTATGCAAAAAAAAAAAAAATTGATGCCTGAAAATGGGAACAATATCCTTTTTTGTGTTTTTTGCAATATTTTCAGCAGAATTACATTTGTTACTGTAATTTCATGTTTATAGCTTATTTTCAGAAAAATTGTCAATCCACACCAGGGAATTAGGGCTGCAAATTACTTGGAACTGGAAAACTAAATTATTCAAATCCACATGTCCATAAAATCCCTGCCAAATGTAACCAACTCCTTTAAACCTTTCAGAAAACTAATTCATTCATGGAAGTAATATTGAAAAAGCACTGTGATTTCATACCATGTCACTTGAGAACTCTCCATTCCTAAGGAGAACAGATTTGCACTACATGCATTTATTTAATCTTCTTTTAACTCATCTGTGTTCTGCAAAATCTGCTGCCCCTCCATTTTGGATAAAAACTATCATTTGACAGAAGTTACATTTTTTCTCATTACTTGTAAAGATCAACAAAATTATTCTGTCGGGAAAGACTTGTCGACTTACTTCTGACTCAGTAGAAACAGCGGCCTTCATACAGAGGAAAACACATGCAAAAATACATTGTATTTTCAGATGACTATTTCTATGAAGATGAAGGAAGCGATATACATACCAGTTCACCAGATTCAGAAAACATAGGCTTCTGTAGAAAAGAAAACGAAAGAGGGAAGATCTGAAGGAATGCTTATGGAAGGTGCGGAATTCAAAACAAATTCAAAAAAACAAATCAACAAACTAACAAAAAATGAAGAACATTATCCATACTGCATAAGAGAGATGAGGTCGAAATTATGAAAATAAAATAACCATATTAGAAACTAAATATGCAAAAATGGAAATCTCACCCCATCAGCAAGATAATTTTTTGAGAAAGGTCAAATAGCAGGCTGCAACTTGGGTTTCCATTTTCATCAAACAGGTCAGGTGCCACAAAGTTCACACACTACATTCCGGCACTTAAACATGATTTGAGCCAAATTCCTGTAGCTGAAAATGCCTGCAAGTGGAGAGAAATCTATAAAATGAATAAGATATTAAGGTTTGCTGAAGTAATTGCACAAATAAACTGAGTGTAAAAATCAAATAAGTTGTAATCCAATCTTGAGAACAATATTTGGTTATTCCTTTAAAATGTTACCTACTTTTAAGCATCTACTGATCAAAGGTATATGTTCATAATATACATGTACAAAACAAGAACCACTATCCTTTCATATTCAAATACATCTTTCTCACGTCTAATATCCCATCATGAATGGCCTGTTATGATGCAGTATCCCCTCATCATCTATCGCTTTATATTGACATACAAAACAAAATTAACAATGACCAGTAAAGAATATATTACATGAATGAAATTACAGCAAAGAGTATTCATAAGATTGATTAATTAGTACCTGGCTTGACGGCTTCCCCTGGGTTTGATTTCATCAGGAGTTGCCTCCCATCCGCATGGGTAATGACAAACTGGAAACCACAAAGTGCTTCCTCCTGAACTTGGGGTGCTCCTTTACTTGTCGGATGAAACCAATGTCTCCTGCAATTGTGCCAGGCTGTAGCAGGAAAACGTACGCAATTAAACTGATGTCTACAAGTTCAAGCCATCTAAATATAATTTACAAAATACATTGCCAAATTTTGTTGCTTACAGCTTGATCAGCTTGCCTTTCAAGCACAATCTTGCGATCCTGTTGCATCCCTTTCTCGACATGCACCTCTAGCACCTTCTTTTCTTGAGTGACTTTAAATAAAAGGTAAATTCAGAGTAAAAGAAAATAAAATAATAAGTCAGACATGATCCAATTAAGCGTTTCAAACAAACCTTCTGAAACTTCAACCGCAGATTACATCACACAGAAAAGCAATTGCTTATATCGAGAAGAACATCATAAAAAACATGGAAGAGGGCATTCGTTCAGTCTAAGGGTATTATGCAAATAAGTATTTAAATCCCCTGTTAACTGACGTGACTGCAACTTGGGATGAGCGCATGATTAGTAGTCTAAACGGAAAACAACTTGATTAACTTGATTGATAAAGAAAACTGACCGCTGGATTGATATCAAACGGCAAAGAACTGCAATCGTCGATGAGCGCATAGAACTTAATAAATGGAATAATTTGAAGCAAATAGTTGAAAGTGTGTGAAGTAATAAAACAAAACGGAAGAAAGGATATACATGTGTATATATATACAACCTGATCAATGGTGCAACAATGGAGGAATCCGAAAAAAGAATTGATATCATTTGAAGCGCAGAGGTCTCTCCCCTGTGGGTGTAAACGAACAGAATGGTACGGCCACTGAAATGAATAGAAACAAATGAAAGAATTGAACCGGTGAGAGAACGTGAGAAAGAGAAATTGAATAAACATGGGGAAACGGAGGAGAATAATCATAAATGAAAAAAGGAGGAAACCGTTTACCCTCCGCTAAAAACGCCAACAACTTTTGAAATTTGAAAAGCTGAGGCACAGATAACGAACCCCAATATTTGCACATGTAATTAATGAAAGACAATGTGAGACCTGAGTCCATGGAGGAAACGGAGGAGACAATAATCATAAATGAAAAAGGAGGAGGAAACCGTTTACCCTCCGCTAAAAACGCTAACAACTTTTGAAATTTGAAAAGCTGAGGCACAGATAACGAACCCCAATATTTGCACATGTAATTAATGAATAGACAATGTGAGACCTAAGTCCATGGATGAATCAGATTGAATATTTTTTTTAGCCAATGAGAATGCTTCAACGTGATTTGTAATTTTAGCCAATGAGATGCTTCAACGTGATTGTAAATATAAAATAAAATATAGTTGATTGATTGACGGGAAGGCACGATAATATTGAATATGTCTCCCACAGACACACACTACCTATCAGGAGGGAGAGGAAAAAAAATTCATTAAAAATTTTTCTCCGCTCCTTTTTTATCAAAAAGAAAAAAAAGAAAGCCTCTCCACAAGCTCCAAAACCTCCCCCCAAAATTGAAGCCTCCCTCTCCCTCCCTATCAATTTTTTTTAATAAACACAAGAATTTGGTCCAAGGTTAGCATATACCTTCAAATACTTCAAAAAATATTTACAAAAATATTTTTATATATCATCCATCAATTAAAAATTATATTAATAAAAATATTTGACCTTGCGATTTTATAAATTATTGACAAATTGTTGTTAACTAAACCAATCATTGTTGGCCTAATACTTAATTATAATAAGGATATAAAAACATACTCCTTTCTCTTTTATTTATGGAAGAAACTATCACTTTTAGCTTTTTTTTTTTATATAAATAAAATCACATTTTTCAATAGACATTTATTACAAATTTTTTAAATTATCCCTTATAATTTTATCATTCGTAACCAGAAGAAACAATTAACAAATGATTGATTAACATAACCAATAAAGGATATTGTAGTTCAATTTTTTATTTTCAAACATAATTAATATAGTTAACTAATTTTTTAAACCATATGATACAGTTTATTTTTCTTTTAGAAATAAAAACAGAGGGAGTAGATTTGGGGTATTTCCTGCTTTCTCCGTTACCCCCTCTAATACCCAAAATCATAGTCATCCATTCAAGAAAATGAGATGAAATTTATCTAATCATTAATTGAGATTTGAGATAAAGGGTTAAGATTTTGACTTTTTGAGCATTAGAGGGGGCAGCTGAGGGGGCAAAAAACATGCCAAAACCATAAAAAACATACACTCCCTTCATTTCAATTTATAAGATGTTTTTGGAGCAAATTGCAATGAACAATGAATATCTCATTTAAACCATTAGAAACCTTAATTTTTTTAGAAAAAAATAAATTTCTAAAAATGCCCTTCATTTAACAATAAACCTTAATCAACACATGCTTAATTAATGAAGGGTACCTTTGGAATAAATTCATTAATAAATCATTGTTTACTCCCTTTGTTTCTATTCATTATAAGATTTTTTTTTTTTTTGAGGTGATTTTATGTTTCATAATAAAAAGTAGGGTGTGTCAAGCTTTGAAAAATGAAGCTCGTGGAGGGACAGGAGCCCAGAGGGCTGAAGATTACGGACAGCATCGACTGACTATGGGCCCACAACCCAACATCCAAGCCAGTTTCTGTCAACCCATTCCAAACCTATTTGCCTTGCCATCCAATTATTTCTTTTCTTAAAAAACTTTCTGTTGTCTATTCAACAACTTCTTTACAGGACAAAATAATTTTCATGAACGAAGCAATTATTGATGGAAGCATCTCGCATAGAGGAACATGGCTGTTGATTTTGACGTAAATGGACAAAAAATATGGGGCGTAATGTAATACATTGTCTTGTATTCACTATTCACGGACAAATTCATGATGGAACCGTGACTATTTTTATCCCCAGAATAAAACACAACAGTAAAAACAATTATAAAACTAACGTCAGTAAATAAGAATCGGAAAAAAAAAAATCACCATTTTATCGGTTACCTCATATTAATAAATGCATTATGCTATCACGGTATGACTTTTTGGGACATCAGTTTTGAGAAAGATCTCGTGTCAAGATAATGTTGGCGACATTTTGTTCCATCGCATGTCGGATCCCATGCACATATTACTACATATATTTTAATAATACATATTTCAGGATTTTATAAAATAGATATGGACTAGTGTATTCATATTTAGAGTCTAAGAATGAAGGCACCGTATATTGTTACTTCCTTCATTTAAAAATATAATATATTTTTTGAGGAGTTAAATATTAAAAATATGAAGCATTTTTAATCTTTCAAGATATATTATTGCATTTTTTTAAGATACACTTATTAATAATGATTTTATATTTATTATAGGATAGTTAATAGGGATAAATATGAAAAACATATAATTAGTTTAAAAGTAGGTAATTATTTTATTAGAAGGTGAGATTCAATTAATAATGCTTTTATATTTTTAACGAAGAAGTATTAATTTATTATTAATGTTATAAAAACAGTGTTGCTTCATATAGTGTATATGTTGTTGAATGATACTTTTTTTTAATATACTCCCTCTATCCCAAATTATAAGACACTTTTAAGAAAAATTTAACGTTTCAAATAAAGTCAGAAAAATAAGTTGAGCCCACGAGTTAGCCCGTTCAACCCGTCAATTTTAATGGGTAGGGTTGAAAGAATTGACCTATTTTTAAAATGAGTTGAACTAGCCCAATCACTAAAAATGACCTGTTACACGGGCTAGCCTAATTTTTTTAAAAAATAATTTATTTTTCCAATTATAATATATCATTTTATAAATTTACAATAATGATAATTTTTTTAAATTTATAATTTATGAGTCTTAAATATGTTCTTTAAATTTGAACGACAATGTAAATCTTTCTTACAATTTACAAATTAAATTTTTGTTACAGTTTGTAAATAAAAATATTATTAATTTTTATAGAAATATTTTAAATATATATTATTTGTTAATCTCATAAAATTTATTAATTGAAATCATGAATATAAATTTGTTGAGAAAAAAAATATATGAGCTTATATTTAAATTATTTTAAAAAATAATATGAAAAAATTATTGTCTATATATATATATAATATATTAATTATAAATTTTAAATCATTTTAAAAAATAAAATTGCATTTTGCGGGCTGGGCTCGGGCTCACTTGCCCACCAATGAACAGGTTAGGTTAGGCTTTTTAGCCCATTTATCTTGGTGGGTTGGCCCACCTAACCCACTAACATGCTAACTTGTACGGGCTGACTCGCAACCTGTTTGCACAGGATTTAAATTTTAAAATATAAGATACTTTGATAAAAATATTTTTTAATATTATCCTTATCATTATTCTCTTTTTTCAATATATTTTATTAATGGAGTATTAAATGAAGGATATTTTTAAAAATTTATATTTTTATCTTAAAAAAATAAGATTGTAAAGTATATTTAATGAGCTTTATTAATATATAAAATTTTATCTAAAAGTGATGAGACGGAGGGAATAATTATGTATGCATCGCAATTATCTGAAGTGTCAAGTTAGAAGTTAAAAAAAACAATTTAAATGGACACATGTATTGAATGCCGGTCAAAGAAGAACACATTGAATTGATAAATGCCGTTGTCAAGAAGCGTGTGTTAAAATCTAAACAAAGTTTATAAGCCGGTGCTTAACGCTTATTAGGTCCCATTTAGTTCGATACCTAGATAAAGATAATGAAGTGCAAGTGGATGTAATGCAATGTTTATTGCAATCAATATTTGGTATAAAAGAATTGGTAAATTTTTGTTTATATTCTAATAATCAACTAAAATAACAAATGAAAATCATAATGCCCCTCAATAAAAAAAAATTCCTCCCACTCCGAAACGATGAAATAATTAAAAAGGCAATTAATATATGCAGAACACTTATAGTAGTAAACACTGCCGCCTTATCTCGAAGAAGCTCGAAATTCAAGCATTTTTATGAAGGTGGGTCTGATAAATCTCTAGAATGATCACGTTGGGACCATGTGTGCTGCTCATACGTAATTGCTTATACCTAGCTACTATAGCATTATTGTTTTCACTGAACTATTTATGAAACAAGCAAGAGAAAAATGAAAAATTCTTGTATTATTGAAGATACATTATATACACTAAAAAAATAAACAACTCAATAATGACTACAATTACATAATAATATCAAATAATATCTCCTAATAATGATTGAAATATATATACAATAATGGCAATATTATATATATATATATATATAAAATCTCCCCTCAAATTCAAGGTGATTTAACAAAGAGCAACTTAAGTAATCTATCAAGAAATGAAAGTTTCTTAAATGAAAGGACATCGTCAACAAATCTACCGGCTAATGCTTGGTTTGAATTGGAATAAGTCATATGGTACCTCGAAAAAATATGCTGTTGAGTAAAGTGACAGTCCAATCTCAATATATTGGTCCACTCATGAAAAAATCATTGTGAGTAATCTTTGTAAAATCTAGGTGAGACCGATAAGATTATCCATTGCTCTTGCTAATCCACCCCTAAATCCCAAATTAACGATAATTATCAAGTTTGTAAATACGTGAATGGGGATCCCAAGTTTTCACAATTTAAAATACTCCCATGCATTTTCAACATTCCAAAATTAAATTTTAAAATATGTGCGGAAGCATGAGAATCCAAAAGAATAAAAAAATTTGCAAAAGGAATAAAAAAATCATAATTTTCTCCAAATAGGTGATATGCCACGACTCATCAGGTCTATGCCATTCATATGGCATAGGCCCTATGCATCATGGTACATTATACGAGTTTGATAGTAAGTTTGTTGTCAATGATAGCACCCAGGCTGAATTTTCTATGCATCCGAAATCTCCATCCGA